CACACACACACACACACACACACACACACACACACACACACACACACACACACACACACACACACACACACACGCATACACACGCACACTCGCGCACGCACGCATACACACGCACACTCACGCACGCTCACACACGCACGCATACTCACTCACGCACGCATACTCACTCACGCACGCACGCACGCATACACAGCTGCAAGCGTTTTACGAGCCGCGTGATTGGATCCTTGAGATGTCACCGAACCGAAAATTCTTCAGATTGCGTCATGACATTGAGAACGAGGACGCGCTGATGCGGCGATTTGGACAGACCGCCATTGGAGGAACAGATGAGCTGGAAACAGTCATTCTGGAGGAGGTACGTGCAATGGCGCTTTGGGAGTTGGGGTGTATTTGAGCGAGGAAGTGCAGTGTGTGGAGTTGTGAGGCGACTGCTTCTCTCTCACGTTTGCCAGCAACCCAATATAACACACACACACACACATAACACACATAACACACACACACACACACGCACGCACGCATACACACACCATCAGGCTGCTGCGAACATTTCGCTGGATGCACCTGGTGGGCTGAAGGGGTCATTGTCTGTGAACGTGAAGGCGACGCTTGATGTGATGGTTGTGTCCATGGTGCAGCAATTAGATCTCATGGACCAGATTGCCACCACACGACTTGATGCAATCGACAACCGCATCGCGGATATCGAGACCCGCCTTTCAAAATGCGAAGGTCGGGCATCTTTTGTGTTTATGGAGGGGCAGCAGTTGTCTGCGTGCCGATGTGTGTGTGTGTGTGTGTGTGTGGGTGTGTGTCTGTGGGTGTGTGGTTTGTCTGTGTCTGTGTGTGGGTGTGTCTGTGTGTGTGTGTGTGTGTGTGTGTGTGTGTGGGTGTCTGTGGGGTTGTGTCCGTGTCTGTGAGTCTGTTTGTTTGTCTGTTTGTCTGTGCTTGTGAGTGCGTGTTTGTGTGTCTTCTCCTTCTTGCATGCCGTCCATTTGCGTGTGTGTCAACATCTCACGTTTCCACCGTCACTCTGCTCTATCCCATGTGCAGGCGCATTTGCGCGAGGCATGGTCCGGTTACAGACCTGATCAAACGTACACACACACACACATGCACAACGCCACGGTTATGTTTCGTGCCGTTCCCTGCTTGTGCTCACCGCTGCAACACCTCCGTTGGCTATCTCTTCCCTTTGTCTCATCTCCTCCTCATCTTCGTCCCCCTCACTTCCTACAATGTGTGGTGTTGCTGGCCAGTTACAGCAGCAACGACAGTAAATGCACACGTCATATATTGCAATCGCGCGCACGGCTCTCACGTGTGGGTGTGTGTGTGTGTGTGTGGAATCATGTCAACACACGAACGACGGCTCGAAATCCATGTACAATGCCCAACAATCCTCCACAATTGCCCTCCACGAACAGCAGTTGGCTCGCGCACTTGAGTGCTCTTCTTCGTTGCTGATGGTGACGAGGACGAAGATGACAGGATGGGTGCAACGGCGTGCGACGGCTCAGGTGCTAGTGGCAGCTGTCTGCTCGTTGCTTTTCCTGGCTATGCCGTTTATCAGCGTCGGAGAGGTGATACTGGAGGAGGATGATGCGGGCGCCTTCCACATCAACACGAGCGATCCCATGAGCCAGCCCGTGTTTCTGAACGGCCTGAATGTGCACGAGACCCTCAGCATGTTGATGAGCACCATGTCGGCGCAGCAGAGCGTCAACGCTGCACAGGAAAGCATAATCGATGCACAACGGAGTGCGATTTCGGCCCAGCAGAGGGCGATTGATCGTGTCCGTGGCGAAGTGTGCTTTCCAAGTGCCACGACGTTTGGGCAGCTCGGCTCAACGACAAACAAGTGGCTTGGTGGCGTGTTGGCGAACAACGGCCTGATCTACGCGGCGCCGTACACCTCCCCGTCCGTGCTCATCATCGATCCGGACACCAACACCGTCGACACGACCACAATCTCTGGACTCGGACAAGACGCAAACAAGTGGGCCGGTGCTGTGCTGGCAAGCAACGGCCTCGTTTACATGTTTCCATCAACCAGGGACACGACGCTCATCATCGACTCAGACACCAACACCATTGACACCACAAGCATCCAAGAACTTGGCTCTGGTCATCTCAAATGGCGCAGTGGCGTTGCGGCCGGCAACGGCCTCATCTTCGGCATCCCTTATTCTGCCACGGCTGTGCTGATCATCGATCCAGCGACCAACTCGGCCGACAACACCACGCTTTCCGGGCTGTCGAGCGAGGGATTAAAGTGGTATGGTGGCGTGCAAACGGACAGCGGTCTCATCTACTGCGTTCCCGTCGAAGCGCCCTCTGTGCTCATCATTAACCCAGAGACCCTGACAATGGATCTCACCACCATCAGTGGCCTGGACACAAACATCAAGTGGTGGGGCGGCGTGCTGGCACGCAATGGCCTCATCTACACGATTCCAAGTGTCTCTGCAACGGCACTCGTCATCAACCCAGCCAC